GTTTGCAAGCTTGTTTACCTGGGGCCTTAAGGAAAAGAGATGAGTTTGCTCCTCCTGCAGCTGTCACTCGAATGGCATGCAAGGCTGGACATGCAGCAGAAGTGCAATGGGCCTGCTGCTCAGGAATCAGAGTGATGACAGCAATTCAATCCCTGTTTAAACCATCCTCTTGGGCTTTCCCTGTGATAAATCCTCCAGTGCTTCATCCTCCATGTTGTCTTAAATGACCCCATCCCTCGGACTGCTGCTGCATCTCTCTGGAGCCGGAGCCAGAGCTGAACAGAGATCCCCTGGAGCTTTCCCTGTGTCCAACACACTGCGCCCTTTTTGCTCAATCTCCTTACTGATTCGAGCCTACTTTGAGCACTGTGAAGAGCTCCTCTGCTTTAAATGGTTGCATTCCCCATCTCATGACTGATTAGCCACAGTCTAAGTATTTGATGACAATGAATTGCTTCTAGCCATCGCAGATCTGCATTATTACAGCTGGAATGGACATGATCTGAGAAGAAAAGAAAGAAAAGGTCTGAACATGTAGTACATGGACTCCTACAAGTTCCTCCTACTGGAAAGCCCGGGTGACAGAAGGTTGCCGGTAAAATTACCAGACTCCTGGCAGCAGATCAGAGCCACCAAAGGGCTTAATGTCAGGGCTTGTTACCTTAATTTGGTTAATTGTGGAGCCAAGTACAGCTGAACAACCAGTTTACATCAGAGCGCAGGGGCAAAGCCAAATCATTGCCTACAGAACAGCTCTTGCAGCCAATGTTGTTAACAGGGTATATTTGAAGTGCAGGAGGATAGGCACGTGCGTGGAAATGGAGCACGCTTTGCATCGCGGCGATGTTCAATGGGAACACTGCTGTATAGGAATATTGGGGGGTGGGCACTGTTTCCCCTGGCAGTCATAGCTGCACATTTAGACCATTTCATGAGTTACAAAACATCCAACGGCTTTAGCATGCAGCCCTTATGATAAAAAGTTATAAGATGCTTTGCCTCTCTGTATGGGACAACATTTCCTGAATCTCATCTTAAAAGCCCTTATAAATGAAGGATGTTCACAGAGTGGATATAGTCTTGAGCTTGGCCTTTGTGGGAGAAATGACTCGGACCTCTCTGATCTGCTAGTCAGAGGAGAATCGTTATTATGCCCCACGTGTATAACATGTTTCCTGCCACGTCTCTATAATATGTTGCCTGCCACATCATTGCTGAGGGGTGCATCATTCCCTGAGGTCTGCTGCTGTTGCGGGAGATTTGTTAGGACAGGGGTTTTCCGTGGGCTAGGAAGAAGGAGATTCCTCTGTTGCAGGGTGCCCTCCCTATGTGTTCCTCCCCTATTACACTGGTGTAGGGTCCCCCAGGCAAGCAAAGCCACAGGGAATAGGAAGCTTTGCATGTTGTTCAGGAATCCCTGTAGGACTTTGCCCTTCTCTGTCCCAAACAGAGGATTCCCAAGTCTCTTGGTCTTTTAACAGACCCTCTATAGCTACCCTCATTGTTCAACCGAGGAGAAAGAAGCACAGAGACGTTAAGCGACTGGCTTGAAATTTGCAGAGCTTTTAGTGGATTCAAAGGCCGCTTCCGTCTTGGGATCTCATCTCCTTCGCTGTTGCAGTCTGTTTCTTTCTTTACGTGCTTCTGAGCTTCCCGCCAGTCGACGCAAGCGGTCTTTATTTTAGTGACTCGCAGAACCACAAGAGCAAGGTTTGCACACCTTGGGCAGGGAGCGGAGAGCCCTGGTGTTGCTCTCGGCAGCCTCTCCAGCAAGATGAGGAGGAACAAGGGTCCTATCCTGAACTGGGTGTGGGATCGGAGGGACTAAAAGAGAGGGTAGAAAATAGGGGCCGCGGAGCTGCGTGCACGGCATTTACTTTCCTGGTGCCCGAGCGAGGAAAGCAGAGGGCCTGCAAAGACCTGTTTGTAGGAAATGGGAGAAAAGGCAGAGAGCTTTCCAAAGTAAGACCCTCCCCACGCATGTTGCTGCTCAGAGCTCTGGACAGATGTGCCTTGCCTGTAGCGTGGCAGTACCCGCACGGGAGCCTTTCCCCTCCTTCTCTCCATCGCTGCTGAAGTAGCAGCTCCTGTGCTAGTGGCAGGTGGCAATGCTCCAGCGCTGGCGCTTCAAAGCACGCGCATTGTACGTGCTCCGGCAGGTGCTGGGGTGTGCGTCTGTGCGCGCTGCGTGGTTTTACAATGTCCTATCTCTCCACCACTCCTCATCCACCCTCCTGAGAATAATGAAACATTGTGCTTCGCTTCCCTTTCTGTGCTTCAGCGCAGCTTCCGTGGCGTGCATCCCGCAGCTTGGCTCGCTTCAGTTTGATTGAAAGAGCCAGGCCTCTTGACGCAAAGCCAAGGCGTTTGTGCCGCACAGCACGGCACTGAATCTGGATTCGAGCTAAACAGACCCTCCCTTGCACACAAGCTAAAGCATCCCACAGCTCCCAGGCAGGGATGCTTCCTGCATTGGGGAGCATGGATTTCAGGCTGGGGTCTGCACGTACCTGGTCCCCTGGCCGTCGGTGTGAGAGGGGTAGCTCTGCTTGTCCTCGGGAACAGCAGCTGTTAGAGGGGGAAAAAGCAGAGCAAGACTCACAGAGTGTTAAAAAAATAAAAATAAAAAGAGAGAGAAAATTTTTCTTCTTAAGGGCTCTGTTACAAGTATAGCAGCCCCTCCATAGGAAATGAGCTAGGGTCTGGGCAAGAGTATGATGTGTAAAAAAAAAAAAACCAAAAAAACCCAAAAAATCAAAACCCCAGCCTTCGAATAGGTCATCATTTGATGCTCTCTGGGCTTAGCGGTCTTGTTGCTATGTGTGCAAGCAACACATGCAAATACATGCCTTACCCAAGGAAGGACTTTGCTTGGCTGGCAGCGGTCCTGAGTAGGCAGACATTGGGCGCACAGCCACATTACTCGAGCCTCCTTAGCCAACGTTCAGCCCTTTCCAAGTGATTTGGCTTGCTGCGCCCGTCAGAAAAACAAGTTGGGATAAGGACAGCACGCAACTAAAACCGCAGATAGCCGTCAGAGGAACTGGTCGGACCTTTTCTGTAGCACAGACCAAAGCATTTCACCCAGTCATTCCTGCCAGACCCATAGCTTCCGGCTGATTTTAAAGCCTTCAAAAGCTGGAGGATGCCCCCACATCTCTTGGTATCTTGTCCCAATGGTCACGCTCGCCATTACAAATCCATACCTTCTTTCTACTATAGACTCTATACGGACATGACTTCAAGATGTATTAGGGAATGACTTCAAGCGGTAGTAAGAACTGCCCAGCACTTTATGTGTTGTCTTTGGAGGTTTTCAGCGCGGTGTGAAGATTGTACAACTCAACATTCGAGCCGTGACTTGTCCAAGTTGGGAGAGAGCAGGGTGAAACTTGGGGGGACAGTGCTTAGCAATCTGGTATCCCCGTGAAGAAATGCCGGAGAGCCTGCCGAGGTCTTCTCAACACCCAGTTTCTTTGTCACGAGGGTGGCAGGTGGGGAGAGCCTGTGCTCTTTCTGCTGCTGTGTATCCAGACCGTGTTGCCAGCTGTGAATAATATGCCGCAGGGGTGGAAGAGATTAGACCAAGCGCCTTAGCAAGAGCAGGCTCAGGTAGTGCAGCCATCACGCGGCGAGACCAAAGGAGCACTCAGTGCACGCGCCAGGGTATAATTGGCTAAATTGTCGGTGGAGATGAAAGAGAAGTGGGAGCAGGGCAGAGACGTAAGGGGAAGGAGACAAGCGTGGGGTCGGGCCGAGGGGGCAAGTATGTGTTTTCTCATCATTAGAGGGCATGTGGCTGGGCAGCTGGTGCTGGCACTGACTTGGAGCACAGCCCACCCCGGGAAGAAAATGCAGAGCCATTGCACCAGAGGGAAAAGCCTTCCTTTCTCAGCAATAGCATTTGCTGGATGCAGAAGTGGCTGAGCCCAGCAACCCCTCTGTCACTTCGGTTCGCATCCCGTGGTCCTCCTTTATCCTGCCTCTGTAACCGTGGTGCTGGTAACAGCTGGGCACTGCAAGGCAGCTGCAATTTTGCAGTCCAAAGAAGGTAGACTTTTCACAGAAATACCCTTTCTTCCCAGAGATGAATGTGGTCTGCGGTGTCTGGAGGGTTCAACCCCGAGCACTGCTGATTGCCATGTGATACGGTTGCCTGTGCGATTAGTGCAGATCCGTGCCCTAAGAAGAATCACATGGGAGGCAACGGGTCGAGTCAGATGCTAACGTGCCTTCCCAAATCCTGCAGGGCTCCCCCCTTTCTTCCTCACAAAGGAGAGCACTTGTTGCATTGAAGGCATGCGGCTTCCCTCACCCCAGGTCTGGAGTCAGGCCCGAGATCAAAAAGCACGAAACAAAACGGCAGCAGGGCTTGAAAGCAACATAAATAAACGCCGTGGCTCTGTTGGAAGAGATCTTAGCAGGCGTACAATCGAGTCTCCCGTTTCTTTCAAAAGCAGACAAATAACAGGAACCTCGAATATTCAGACCCCAAAGTACGCGACTTCCCTTCCCACCATTCTGCTCGATCGGCTTGCTGGGGGAACTGGAGGAAATCCGCGGCTTTTATCAAGAAAAAACACTCGTTGGTGCAAGGACGGTGTCGGAACAACACTGGTGTGCGAGAAGGGCTCCAAAGGGCTGTGCTTGGAGAGGTGGCCAGGAGACTCTCTCTGCTACCGGGGGAGCCAACACCGTGGGGAAGGGAGAAATCCAGCTTCAATCAGCTAACTTATCTTAGCGGGGTTTGAGCCTGAATCCTCTCTCTAGCTTGCTTTGTCGCAGGCAACAACCCTATGGAAACCTGTGCACGCTGTCCCTAACACGACCGCCCAGGCCCCAACACAACAGGTGTTCTCCAACAGCTTCAGCTCAAGGGTTTTGGGGGACCATGCCTTCAACGCTTAGCCATTGCAGCCTGGGAAGGCCTGTGCAATTTAGTATGGCCAGCTCTTACACCCTGCAATTTTTGTCCCCTTTTTCTTTGTTGTCCTCTGTAGGTAACGTGTCCAGCCTGAGACCTGAGCACTCCTTCGAAGGCACCAAAGTAGATGTGGGGAACATCGTTTTGGCTTTGTACAGCGGCCTCTTTGCCTACGGAGGCTGGTAAGATGCAGGCTGATTTCTTGCTGCCGTCACAGTGCAGCGCCAGTCCTTGTCTCTGGCTCCTGATAAGAGTTTGTGGTTGAGGGCACCTTGTCCCCAAGAGGACAGTGGCATCACGTCCTTTTGTCTGGTGGCAGTCACACTGGGGTCTTAGCCTGCAGGGGAGCGGTACGTGCACATACAAGGAAGCACTGTTTGTTAGAGTATTTAAAACAGGGAGTAAGTGTAGGGGCTCCCTGGAGAAATGCCCAAGCTGTGTGGAGAGGGAGTACAAGGAAAACCAAGAGATGCACTTTTCTATCCCAGCCCCCCCTGAGTCTTGTGGTACCCCAGCTGAGACCCCCTGTTTTAGTGGCTTCTTTATTCATTTCTTGTTGCTCTCACATGCAATGCAGAGATCTAGTGCAGTCGTCGTCTTCTTGTCAGTATAGCAGCACTGCTAGCTGTCCCGACACGCGCAGATCCAGCATATTGCAAGCAAGCCAGCTGTGTTGCATGCCGGACTGACGGGAAACACCTGTGTTTCGGGTCTCAGACCTCCGTGCTGATGCGCTGAGATGCAGGATGCCCTCCTTAGGTGCTCCAGAGCCCTTTGATTAGTACGGGCATCTCCACCTGCATATACACAGAGTTTAGGGGTGGGCTGTTGGATTCATTGTTATCATGTGCTGCAACCAGAATTAATCTCGTCTTTTTTTTTTTAATTGCAGGAATTACTTGAATTTTGTCACTGAGGAGATGATAAACCCCTACAGGTATGCATGCCCCGTGGTGACTGCTCAGTTAGGGATGAAAACTTACCCACGGTCGACCTTGAAAGATCGCTTCCTTCCATTGGTGTGAAGCTGCCTTTTGCATGCAGAAAAAAATACGTGACTAACCAGCCCCAGGAACAAGATTTCACTTGAAGAAAAAAATGAGATCTTGGCCATGGGCAAAGCCTGATAGATGATGAGATTTGTTTTTTGCTTGTGGAAGGAGGACAAGAAGGGAGTAAAAATGCAAGTCAGTGCAGCAGCCCTGTGGTGAGCCACAGTGGAAAGTCCCAGTTCCCCACCGTGGCAGCCCAGCACCTGCCCACTGCGACTTACTGGGGGGCGGAGGAAAGGTCTTCCACTTCCTTTTGGTCTTTTCTTGCAGTTTCATGAACTACGTGCCACAAAATATCCAGGGGGACTCCCAGGGCGATGCTATTTTATTTCTGACCTAAACAGCCGCCCCCCCCACAACCAAAGCAACGGGCCTTTCTGTCCCTATTTTGCTTACCCCAAGAGTGTATGAGGCTGACTATACCACACGGGAAATTTTTTGGCAAAACCCAGATCCTGGCTGTGGGTTCGGTTACATAGGGGGCCAATTCCTGCTTGACCCCTGCAACGACCAGATTTGATTACCCTTTCCTTGGCGTGCATAGTTGAAAAGGTATTTGCCGGCTGTAGCGATCCCCTCCTTTTCCAAGTGCAGTCACAGCATTTGACTTCCTGTGGCTTTGAGCTGCACAGCCCGATTATATGCCGCATTAGGAAGGGTTTCCTTTTTTAATTATTGTGTGTAAACTGAGTTAATTTCTCAGAAAGGGCAAAAGAGCCTCTACACAAGCCTCTTTGTGGCTGTATTCTGGTTGCCTCCAAGTGTATTTCCCAGGGGCTACAGCGAGCTCTTTGGTCTTAACGTGCTGACTGCCAGCGAAACCCCTAATCTTTCTGTCTCCCTTCTCAACAGCCACCAGCACACAAGTGCTTATTCTCACACCAGGAGACTGTGCAAGTTTTAACGTGGCGAGCTGGCATGAGGCATGCCCGGGTCTTTGCAGTAAACCTGAGCATTGCTTGCTCAGCCACGCATGCCCGGGTCTTTGCAGTAAACCTGAGCACTGCTTGCTCAGCAATTCGCTGTCCTTTGCACAACCTTCCTCCCGCCGAGCCCCATTTCCCACCGCTCCCAGCTCTGCCTCCTTGCCACTCGGGTGGGATCATGTTTTATTTTGATGTTTTCTACTCCTCCATGGAGAGCAAAATCAAGATTGGAAGCTGGGCGCTCGGCAAAGAAAAGCAGAAGAACTTGCGGCGCTTTTTGAAGCTCGTCTAAAATCTGTTCAGAAAAGCTGACCTTTGCAACAGCAGTTTCCGTCCCTAGCACACACTGTCCCTTGAAATATATGTCTTTCTGAGCTACAGAGCTCTGGATCCTAATCCATTATTATGATTTTCACTTTCCTCCCAGAAACCTGCCATTGGCCATCATCATTTCACTGCCTGTAGTCACCCTGGTTTACGTATTGACAAACTTGGCTTACTTCACTACGCTGTCGACAGAGCAAATGCTGACGTCGGAAGCCGTGGCTGTGGTAAGATAAAGCACATCCAGAACGCACCCATCTGTTTTCCTACACCGGCTGCCCCAGCCTTGTAATCTCGAGCTGCATCTCCTGATTCATTCAGCACTGTAAGCGTGGCTGCTTGCAAAAACGTGATTTTTTGATAGGCAATAAAGAAAGGTTTTGGGGGTGGGAAGAGTTTTCCCAAAAGGTACTGAGCTGGAGTCATCACAGAGGAAAGAAAAGGCGAGCGTTTAATAAAACGGCATGAATATTCGGAGGTGCTGCCAACAGCTTAACTGAGCATGGGAAAAGGTTGCTACGTCAATATTAAATCAGGCTATTCTTGCTCAGTTCTTTCTTATTCGTTCTTCCCATTTTTTTTTCTAGTAAGTACTATTGTAGTCATTAAAATCCCAGTGCCAAGAGAAATCCTGGAGAAAATGCAGCCTTGGGTAGTCTCACTAGCTTAGCACAACCGGGCCAATTGGAGAGGAACCCTTCCGTCCGATATATATTGGTGTTTGTGGTTTAGTAAGCAGCAATCTTCTCTTGAGTTTATGCTGAGGATGGTACAGGCACAGTAATCTGTGCCTAGTTAGTCAGTGATACAGTCCTGGTTTTTAAAACCGTGCTGACAGCTGCAAGTGCTCAGAGGTGACAGAATGGCTTTCTTGTTGCTTCCTCCTAGGACTTCGGAAACTATCACCTCGGTATGATGTCCTGGATCATACCTGTCTTCGTCGGCTTGTCGTGTTTTGGATCTGTCAATGGATCCCTCTTTACTTCTTCACGGTAGGTTGTGTGCGGGTTTCCTTTTCCGGTGCTCACCCTTGGTCTGGAGCTGCCCTTAGAAGCGCAGCCATAGACGGGCACAATGGGAAGGGTCCAGCGAGCGAGAGTGGTTATTTTTTAAGGTCTTACCCAGGACCCAAAAGCCAGGCCTGTCAAGTCCTGTTTGCAATGCTGGATTGAACGAGTGATCCCAGACAGCTTCTGGGGGTGGCTGTAAGAGTAACCGCTTTTTTGCCTTCAGGCTGTTCTTCGTGGGATCCCGGGAGGGCCACCTGCCCTCCGTCCTGTCCATGATCCATCCCAGGCTCCTCACTCCAGTGCCTTCTCTCGTCTTCACAGTAAGTGTCGTGTGGGCTTTTAGACCTGATCGCATAACAAATTAACTCCAAGGATCCAATATATCCCTTGGTGAATTGTTCCCAAGATGGATCGCCTTCATGGGCAGCCATGTCTTTACTGAGCTAGCTAGACTAAAACAAGCGAGCAAATGCTTGCAGCTATGACATCCCTCATTGCAATTTGGATGTATCCTGTGAGGCATATTTTCCAGTCTGGTTCTTCTCTGAATACTCTCCCATTTGTCAACCTCCTTCTTGAATTATGGACAACAGAACTTGGCACATTTTTCTAGTAGTAGTCACACCAGTGCCAAGCACAAGGGTGATATTGCTTCTCTACTCCTAAGCCAGATGCCTCTGTTTTTACATCCAAGGATTGCTTTGGCCCTTATGGCTACGATATCACACTGGGAGTTTATGTGCAGCTGGTTGTCCACTGTGAACTTCAGGTCCTCTTCGGAGTCACTGCTTCCCAGGACCCTTGTGGGAAGACCCACAAAATAAGTTATAGTAGTGTAGCAGAAGTACAAGGGGACTGGCGTGGATAGGCTTGAGTGTGAGGATTGCAATGCTTTGGTTGAGCTGTATGGAAAGGACTTCGCCAGGAACAGCAGGCAGTGACTTAGATGAGGACAGAGGTGCCTCTAGCAGAGCTGTAGGGTGCAATCATGCATCGTCCCTTCCTTGCCTGGCTCTTCCATTGCCTTGGATTCACTTTCCTTGCCACCTCCCCTCCTTTCTCGCTGCAGTGGATATGTCTCTTGTTACCATAACATGTCCTTGGATAGCAGGTTTCGTTTTGAAATAATTCTGTGGAGTAGGTTAGTAAAAGTTCAGGCACCTCCACGGAGCGTGCCTGCATTTCCTTTGCTGTTTCTGGAGGGCGGATAGTTACCCTTTGGCAGCGTGTGGTGTTCTCTGCCCGCTTGTCCCTTGGCTCATGCCTTTTGTTTCTGGTTGCAGTGTATTATGACCCTGATGTATGCCTTCTCCAAGGATATCTTCTCCGTCATCAACTTCTTTAGCTTCTTCAACTGGCTCTGCGTGGCTCTGGCAATCATCGGCATGATGTGGCTCCGCTATAAAAGGCCAGAGCTGGAGAGGCCCATTAAGGTGAGGATGGTGGAGCGGGAAGCCTTGCTATTCCTTCTGTGCCCCGGCTTTCCAGGATGCAAGTCTAATGGTGAAGAAAATGATGGGGGTTAAAGGCTTCTGGGGAGAGGCTCTCTTACATGAACAAAATAAGGGGGAGAGAACCGGTGTAGGGAGGAGAGGAAAGGGTGCTACTTTGCCACCCGAACAAGCCAGGTGGGTGCAACTCTGTAGTAGACAAAGCTTAAATGCAAATGAACAGAAGGAGACCTCTGCCAAATGACTCTCTGCTGTTGGTTAAATACCTGTTAGGCAGGTGTCTGTGCCCAAAACTCCTCCGCTAATGGGAACTGGCTCCCTGTCTGGCAAGGAGCCTGAGAGCTGATTTTGGTTGTGGACATAACTTCAGCATCGGAGGTTGGCAGGCCCTTGAATAAGGAATCTCACCCTGCCGTAGCAGCTCTGGGTATTATTAGTAGAGGACTTCAGTCTCTGTGACTCTCAATCATATACTTTGCACCAGTAAGGAATTCACTTTAAATATACTCATTTTAGGAAATAACGAAGGCAGCTTTATTCTGTTTGTCCCTGGCTGCCCTGGAAACACTCTGTTGGTGGGAGGCCAAGTCCACGTCGAGCGCTGCAATCCGTCAGCTCTCCTTAAAGACTTGTACGCCCCATTACGAGCCAGAGAGCACGCTCCAGCAACAAGTGACGCAGCCCGAAGGGAAAAAATATTACGGACCTACACTGCAGCCTTCCCAGGGTATCACTTCTCCAAAAGAGCCAGACCGCTGTCAGAAGTGCCGTCCCTGCTAAAAGCAACGTAGTTGAATCCCCTAGTTTTAAGAGTACCAAAAAGTCTGAATTAATGGCCTAAGTGTGCATGGGTGACAGTGCTACGTTTGGGACGATGGATCTGATGCTCTGGCCTGGAGTGACCTGGAGCTGAGAGTCTTGGGGCCGCTGAGGACTTGCTGTGTGGATTTGGAGAAGTCACTTAGTCCTCCTGTGTCCTTTTTAGCTGTTTTTAAGATAGGAGGACCCTTCCTTAACTCCCCAGGGTTGATAAAAAGCAACAGGTAAATGCCAAACGTCCTGATGGAAATTGAAACCTCACAGCCCTCTCACTCAACGCCGTGGGCAGCCCGGTGTCTTTAGCAAAGAGCTGTCGTGGGGTCCCCTTCTAGGACAAAACTGGTTTGATCAACTGCCCTGGCAAGTAGCTGGCCTCTCTGTTTCTTACCAGTTTTGACTAACTCCCTGCCTTTTTCATGGTTTCTTTGCCCAGGTTAATGTGTTACTGCCCATTTTCTTCATCCTGGCCTGCTTGTTCCTCATCGTGGTCTCCTTCTGGATGACGCCGGTGGAATGTGCGACTGGTTTCGTCATCATCCTCAGCGGGCTCCCTGTTTACTACTTCGGGGTCTGGTGGAAGAACAAACCCAAGTGGATCCTGCAAGGCATCTGTGAGTATCCGGCCAGAGAACGTAGGATGCTGCTGCGGCTTTCGCTCCAAGCCTTGTGATATTTTATTTCCCCTCGAACCTGCAGAAGCAAGCGGCGCTGGCCACAATTTGCATTGCAAAGGGTTCTGCGGGACTAGCTTTTGTGGATTTCTGTTGCTCAGTGCAGTTGGAGCGAGCTGAGTGCTCAGTAGACAAGCTGACCAAAATGATCTGCCACCCTTTGTCACTGCAAATCACAGAGCAAATACAAAGGGTTTTTCTCCCAGCAAACAGGAAATGTATGGAAAGAGAAATCCTTTGCAAGAGCTGAAGTGCAAACTCTTTCTTAGCAGAGGAAAACAGCATGCCAGCAAAGCAGGAAGAGAGATGAAGTAACGCTGTAAAAATCTGGGTGCAATCAGCCTATTTCTGACTGGGCAGAGAGCACGATGAGTCCTGATGGGTCATAAGCATCACGGGCAGTGGGAGCAGAGCCCTCCTTGCTACGATAGCATGGCAGCAGCTAAAGGAGAAGCGAAGCATCCTGGAAGGTTTCTCTTGTGAGGGTTGCTTTTAGGGTATCCGTGTTACAGAGATGTCTGTGCACGATGGCATATTTTGAGGGGCTGTGATAGCACTGAGCTTGGCACCACATGATCTTTGTGTGAACAACTGATTGAAGAAAGTCAGGCTCTGTTTATACATCCAAGCCGTGTTGTCCAAGTAACTAAGCTCTACCATCTGTCTCCCAGCTCTGATACAAGGGGTTGACCTGGAAAAGCAGACGAGCTGAAATGCCCAACCTTTTGAGCAAGAATAGGACCTTTTAACAGTGCACAGCACTTTAATATGCTTTTTTTTTTTTTTTTTTAAATTCTAAATATCAGGCTCAGTTCCTGGAAAAGCCATTTATACAGTGACTGCTTTGCAAATTAGCATATTAATTATGTTCTACCACCTCCAGCTTTCTATTAGAGAATATCGAAATTATTCTAGGACACAGGATGAGAATGCTACAAATGTCTAATTAGAAACACACAAGCTGTGTGTCTATATATGTATTAATACATGGTAGATAATTTGCTTGCATCCTTCTAAAATGATTCTGGCTCTGCTAGTCTGCGTGTGTTAAAATCCACGTTAATTTGATCTGACACGACTGCCTCGGGTAACGAAAAGACTCGGTGTAGTAGCAAGGGGTCCACATCTCTTTGAAACACAAAGAGTATTGTCAGGGTAACTCACAGTTAAAGTCTCTCAGCTTACAAACCGCCCTTTGCAAGTTTGTCAATGAAATGCTTCCTGATGAAGTCCCTTCCCCTCGATTGTGCCCGCAGCACCCTGGTTTGATGTCACGAGGTTGCACGCAAACGTGGTCTGTACATCTGGATTCGCTCTTACACTAGACGCTGGTGACAAGGCCAGCGCGGCTGCGTTTTAAGCGAAATGCATGCATCTGCAGGAGCAGGTTTTTTCAGAAGAGGAAGCAAAAATATCAGCTCACAACGTGTCTGCCAGTTCCTGTGATTTTATCTGACTCAGTACTGGCTGCAAACTGTTCAGAAATCTAGGGCTGAGCTATGCCCATGTGTGCTGGATGACATATGCATGGTAGTTGCCTGATAATTGCCATCGCTATGAGGTTAAAAGTTAAAATACATGTCACCTGGTCTGTCAGTGGAGGCACTGCTCTGTTCACTATACTCCAGCTGTTGCAGATAGAAGGTGTGTATGTGAACAGACTAGTGCGGGCACTAAGCTTTGTTTTGTTGTCAAGCTATATATTATAGTATTTGGATTGAGTCCTCCAGAGACAGGCTGGCCGGCAGGGCACGCCTTTTGGAGCTGAAGAATATGAAACGCGGGACCGGGTTTCCAAGCTGCAATACGCACAATGTAGTGCCTGGGTCTAAACCAGTCTGTGTTTCCTCCCTTCCAGTTTCCACGACAGTCCTGTGCCAGAAGCTGATGGAAGTGGTTCCACAAGAGTCTTAAACAAGGCCAGCACGGACACTCGGCTTGAGAAAACACACAATGCCGTTTGAGAACGACACAAAAGAAAAGGCGTCTGATGCTTCTTCGATGAAACCTAGAGCACCTTGGCAGAGCTGCTGTGTCCCTGAGGCCCCGCCACTCGCTCTGCCTGTCCCCTCTTCTTCTCCCCCATCACCACCCCCAAGCCAGGCAACACGTTGGAGAAGAGTACGTGGTACGATTTTAGTCCAGGACGAGGAGTTTCTGCTGGTCGCCTCCAGAGACTGCAGCTCATTCACTAACAGTGAATCTCATCAGATTCTGTGTTTGTGTGTGTGTTTGTGTGTGTGTGCATGTGAGACTGAGGGCTCAACTTCAGTTCTGGTCACTGTTATTTAGTATCTTTATTTTTGAGGGGTTTTGGGGTTTGTTTTTTTTTTATAATTTAAGATTAGCAATTTAATTTCTTCGTCACAGATACTGCGAGTGCATCTGCTGATGTAATGGAAACAATTCCTAACGTTGCCAACCGTATGTGTCTGCCTCCCAAGGGACTGGGATTACACACTGCTGCATAGCTACAGGCCTCCAAGTCGGGCTTGTTGAACCGCAACGAGCCGCGCTGGCTGGCCTGCCAAGGTGACGTTCTTGGAAGACCTAGGCACCAGCAGACAAACCAAATGAACCAAAATAGGTGTGACACTGATTTTAAACGAGGATCTGCACTGATTTTAGCCCAGTCCCTGCCCTGTCTCTCTGTTGCCCCAACTCAGATGGAAATTTTATTTTTTAGACATTCATTTTAGTGCTAATTAAACTGTAAATCACTGGGCATACATTTCCCCCCCCACCCCCCCCGCCCTTGAGGACTCCAGGTGCTGGTGCTCTTTATGGACTGATCACATTTGTAGAGATGTTTGCAAAGCAAAGATCTTTCAACAGGCTTTAGCTGTTTTGGCATCTGCTCACACTCACAAAAATATATGCTCTTGGACACTTTGGAGTCTGCCAGAAAGGTCTTTGCGCAGCAATTTGCAAAAGGCAGAGCAGAATTAGCATCATGGAGAGGACAGGGTATGTGCACGTGTATTTTGATTTTCATTCTTGCTGGATCATGCTCAGTTGCCTGGTTTTCTACCCTTTAAACTTACCCCCCTCTCTATTATTGGGCCAGTACTCTAGGCCACTTCTGTAGTTGCACTAGTCCTATTGTTGCGTGTGAATACATTTTATTTTGGACGCCTGTCATTTACCCCTGTAAAATTAGTATTAGGAAACAAGGTGGGTCCCGAGGACAGGGCTCCATGCAAAAAAGCTGAGAAATCCCAGTGGCTTACTGAAAAATGATCAGAAGCCTGAGTCATGGGAAGGCTGCATTTTTCTGAAGTCTGTCTGCAGCCAAGCTCAGTGCCATCCTTTCAAGCGTCCCTGTTTAGCATTCATCCTAACTGATGTGTCACCTGAAACCATTCATAAAGGGAAGGCTTCAAATGGGTGCTCGCAGCTCAACCTGAAACCATTCATAAAGGGAAGGCTTCAAAGGGGAGCTCGCAGCTCCCCCCCTGCCACTGCCGAGGATTGCGTGTCGCTGTATGGACATGTGATGGGTTTTTTTAATTCAGGCAATATTCACTTTGGATCTTTTTGAAGACCACGTGGGGGGCATGGCAATGAGTAGGTCTGGTGCATGGCTGGAGTCCCTTGTTCCCCATTTGTCGTACATCTGGTGAATGGTACTGTTCCTTCACCATTCGTAGAAGCAGCAGGCTGGAAAAATGCTCCTCCTTCCCGTAGCACTGCAACACCACGCTCGGCTCAGCTGGCGTTGGATCCCTTCTAACGGCACTTAGCTGGCTCCCAACTAGGATCTGCATGTGGATACCTGGATGCTTTTTGGGTGACTCCAGGGAGCTGGCACTTCCATTCCAGTCCCTCTTCAGTATAGTCCCATGCCTCCATAGAGGGCAATGCAACCCGCTGAGTGCATATAGTCGGGGTCGTTCTCTTAGGAAGCATATTGCTTACTTAGCCAAAAATGTGTCTGTCTTAGCAGACTACAGGGTTTCCGTACTTAAGTACAATCGTCCAAACGCTCTGTGTTCACAGCGATGTTCTCTTTGAAACCAAAACATATTTTCCTTACAAAGAGAGCTACGCCGTTGCTTACAGGAATTTCCTTTACGCTTTCGTCCTGCCACTCCCTGCACTAGGAGAAAGGGTAATTCAACTTTTGCCCTGCAGTGTTGTTTTGTTGGCTTTTTTTTTTTTGTTGTAAACTAAGATGCTTTGAAGTAGCGACCCTGTAGAGTTTGTGGCTGTCTGTTTTATATTGAGTTGTTTTGCCAGCACAGGGGATTTTTTGGAAGGAGAAGCAATAAGCAGGCTGAGGATGCACTGGCTTTTTATGAAGCAATTTAGCGGGGGGAGTTAGTAGCAATTCCAAACAGCAACGAACGCCGCTGGCAGCCGTGGTGAGAGAAAATAACCAATAGTCGTAGTAAAACCAAGAAGTTAAAATGTGCAGCTCTGTCATTGTCATTAAGAAAAAAATCCGAAAGCTTTATTTTTCGAAAATATTTTAGGGAGTGGATGGCACCTTTGTCATGTTAACCTCTCACTCCCAGGGCACCCTGTTTTCCATCCAGCCTGGGTCACCGGTGACCCAGAGGGTGCACTGATGCTGCACGAGGCAGAGCAGGAAGAGGTATACAGTGCTGCCTCGCGTGGTGTAGGCATACCCAAAGTTGTAGCCATCCCATGGCTGTCTGAGGACCTATGTGCATCGGGATGGTGGTCCTTAGATCCATTTTTAGTGGAAAGGCATGTACACAGATAAGCCCATGGGCTGTGCCTTTCCTCTGAAGCATGAATCCTTCCCAGGTCCAGGTTGAGCTGCTTTGGCTAGGTAGCAAGGAGAGGCTTGCCCTGCCATCAATAGGCTGTGCTTATCCCGTGGATACAAGACCCCCCGGTCCGTCTGACGCCTTCCTCTAGTGCTACTTTTTCTTTTTGATGTTCTCAGGGCCAGTCGTATATGGGACCTGGTTTTAATTCCTTGACGTAGCTTCTGGCTGTTTTGAGCTTTGAGCGTCGT